TTTTTTTACAGCATAAAACAACTGCAGTGGAATCTGGACCTAACCAAAATACCAATACCAAAAACCTTGACGACTCCAGACCCGGACAGCCTCATAAAGGTGATCCGCAGGACGCTCGTTTCAGCAGCGCAGTGTTTTACATCTATGTCAGGAAAAGGGCCATTTACATCCAAATGTAATTTAAACTCTGCGGACCCGGATACGGGTCCAAAATCGTGTTAAAAATGTTTATGCTTCATTTACATAGCCTTCCTTATATGGTATCAGCCCATATATGGGTTCATTTGAAAGCTTGGAGTGTCTTCTTTACAAAGAATACCATTCCTTTTGGTTTTTATATTCATAAAGCAGTAAAATTAAGCTTAGAAATGTATTCGTCCCACACACGAATTTCCGCCTAACCATTGCGAATAATTTTTACGAAGAATGTGTATTTTTTTCTGATAGAATGAATCATCTTTGATAGAATCGCGATGTAAAATTTGGTCACCTCTGAGCGAATTTACATTTATACTCGTAGCACTGCTTCAGTCAGCCGCAAACAGCCACAAATATCTATATATTCTTATATTATCTTTTAGATTAGGATCTCTTCTTTCAAACAAGACCATTTTCACATTTCTGCGTGCTTCCATCGGTGAGATATATAGCGTTTTGTCCAGGTTCAGAAATAGACGCTCATCTGGAAACAGGCGCTCTTCATATCCAAAGCGCGCACAACCAGCGTGTCTGAAGTTATACAGATCTGTGGTCGCTTGTGGACTGCAATTGGTCAGATTACAGTCTCTGAACTCAGTGGCCATTTCAGAGCCGTGAAATTGGACACCTCTGCATCACTAGCGGGGGAGAGGGGGGTCTTGCATCCGGGACTGTGCCTGTGGGGGTTTTCTTGTCTCTGTAGTTTTTTTGAATGTGTTGAAGGCGAGATTCCCTCATGGAATGGATACTGCACACGCGGCTCGGATTACATTACAAGTTATATATGGTGAAGAACATTCCGCGGTGCCGTGGAGAGGAATGAATGCGCGTCTGGTAAGGCTATATGAGTGTGTTTTTGAGCGTGTTTTATATTAGAATAGTTGTTTGGAAACTTGGTAGCACAGCTAGCAATCTGATACACTGTTTACTGACCGAAAAGTACAGTACATTATGCATTTCAGTGAATATACAGTAAATATACATGGATTGTTACAGTGCGGTGTGGATGAATTAATATGTGTTTGTTTGACGCTCTGAATGTTACAGCTAGATGCCGGATAGCAAATTAGCTCCGCTCTGGACCACGGATGATACAGTGTTGTCATGGAGAGATGCTCAGGCTACAGGAGTGAGTCAGCTGATGAGGTGAGAGGATGCTCTGAAGCAGTATCCCAATACAAAATGCACATAAATGGAATGATATAAAGCTGGAGGATATGGATTCTATTTTAGATTGCGATCGACCAGATATATTTTATAATGTAGACAGTCTTGTGCATCCTGAAATAATTACACATTGTAGAATACACAATATGTGAAATTTGGTCCAATTGGCTTGTGCCATTTTGTATATTACTACTTAGAAAAACATAAAAATGAAACATAATACAATTAATAATCAATTAAAGTGCTTATGGCACAGAATAATATAGGGTTGTGGGGTTAATGTGTTTTATAAAGCCTGTTTTTGCAAAGAAAACTCACAATGACACATTTAGATGCAAAATTAGACAATTTGACTCGCTTCAGATATAATGTAGTAACTCCTGTTTAGAAGCTGTTATTTGAAAGATTCTTTTTTCTGGTACTTTTTGGCATCTAGTGGCATCAAACTAAGTAAACTGCAGAGAGTTGAGCCTAATAGAACCTGAATTACAGAATTTCAAATAAACAATTTGTTTTAAAACTCCAAAAGCGCCTATGTTTTTTTTGTTTATTGTAATATTTGAAAAATATATAATGTTATTTATAAAGAATTACACTCATATTTTGTAGTTCAAAGGGTTTTCTTTACAATTAAACCATTTTTTTTAAATTTCCTCCATTGTATGTGTGTAGGGTAAACATTTGAATTTGAGTATGAAAACTTTAGGCGAAAATACCAAAAACGCCCCAGAGAATAAGTGGTTTTAATGCACACAGAATAAAATCTAGAAATAGATTTCAGAATATAAACTACTTAATCGGCCATTTTCAGTAAGATTTAACGTTACTAAATATGTTTGTGTGCCTGCTTTTGTGCGTTTAACTTGAATCTTGTCCAACAGACATCGGTTTTAAAGTAGTGGGTAATTCACTCGTTGATTTGCTTAAAGTCTACTTTGTGATCCTGTTAGCAAACATGTTTATAGCGCATTTTATTAGACATGTTTATTGTTACTGCAGCAAAAATAGACAGTGCAGCATTTACAAGTAATTTGCGTGCAACGTATCTGGTTGCCATGGCAACCTCAGGGCTTGCTGCTGCTCTATGCAATCATAGTAAAACTACTGAAATGGTAGACGGAGTGTGAATTTGTACATTTACTACAGAAATGCTAAATGTATTTAAAAGTTTGACTGACCAAATCGACTGGCTTGGTTTGGCCCCCCAAGCTCAAAACTTCAAGATACGCCTATGGTGGCAAATGTTCACTATCCATTGACAAAGTGATGGCAGATTGTGGAACAGATACATTTCTATTAATGAGGCACTGCTGTCACTGCTTAATGAGCACCTGACGACAAAACTCTGGAACTGCAGATTAATCAGCCTGATCGATATATTGTTCTGATTGTGGATGAGTGATTGAGAGATACTAGGTTTGACCTAGAAAGAAAGAATAATATGTGAAGAGAGAAAGAAAAGGAAAGAAAATGGAATTTGGTGCAAGTGAGGGGATCGAATGAGAAATGAACAACCAGGCCTAAAAATAGACAGTTCATGGAGAGAATGGATAGAGAAGAGCAACACAATCCCACAGTCGATACGTTGAGTGTGTGCCTACAATTCAAGCACACAACACTCTTTCAGCCACTATCACACACACACACACACACACACACACACACACACACACGAGGGGATCGAATGAGAAATGAACAACCAGGCCTAAAAATAGACAGTTCATGGAGAGAATGGATAGAGAAGAGCAACACAATCCCACAGAGTCGATACGTTGAGTGTGTGCCTACAATTCAAGCACACAACACTCTTTCAGCCACTATCACACACACACATACACACACGGCAAAGAGTTTGCTGCAAAGCCAATTCTTGTCCTGATCTTATAAAGTATTCACATTTCTTATGAGATACTTATAATCTCATTCACCTGACATGATAATGTTTATTAAATGCTAATAACAACTAGATTATTACACTCCCAGATAAAAACATGAGCAGAGCTTTTTCATGCTAATGCCGCTTCTTCTACATTGCTCGAGTGTTGTGGGCGGCTGTCAGTACATTGCTGTGCGGTTGCTATGGTGTGGTGTTGTTTATAGTGCAGTGCTATTGGGGTACAGGGATGTATGGGGTGGATTCAGGGCATAATTACATGCACAACAGCGGCAAAGTGAAAAGCTAAGCAAGCATAAACAATCATGAAGCATGGCCATTATTTGACATATCAAGTTTCAATGCAATATGCAGTAGCCTTGCCAAGATATTGCAGAATACACTATGCTGCACCTTTACTTCAGCTTTATATTATATGATAACAGTTTGAGACATCAGAAAGTCTTTGTAACTTCTTGCCAGCATGCCCCAATGACGATCTGTGTATATAGACTGGACAAACATCTAACACCGGTTCCTAACCAGACGTGATGTGACAAGATTCCAGTGACAAGCAATTTGTCTGTCCAGACCACACGCAACACGGCTATGCGACGTGACAGAATCAATCAAATATCACATCCAATCAGAAGCTCGTGTGGGCGGAGCTTCTCTGTAAGCGCACTGCACTCAATAAGTTAATCTAATTCATGAATATTAAACCTTTTTAGCAGTATTAAAGGTACTGAGTGATTGACTCCATCTTAATGAATTCACTTGTTGGTTTGCATTGAGTTCACAGCTTTAACGTACATGTTTGCTTTATTTTCAAGATCTAAGGTAAACTACTGTTGCTTTCAGTATGGCTATAAAGGTCACGTAAAATTATATTTAAACTCACATTAGCCACTTTTAACACTACATAAAGCACATAATCAATACCTGAGATTATTACTGTCATAGTTCGTATGTTGTAACTTGGAAAAGATACCGTTATCGTATGTCGTGTTGTGCATGGTCTAACAATGGGTTGAATGGTCAAGGAAGAGTTAAAAAAGTGTTTGACATCAAATGGCATACAGACTAAACAGCCAACTGTGAAAAGGGATCTAAGGAATAGAAGCAAGATGGCCAATGAATTTACCAACAGGGGACCCACCGCCTGCACATTTTGAGTGTCTCCCTCATTTAACAGCCCTGATTCAGATCATCAGCTCGTTAGGAGAGACTCGAACTCAACTGAGTGTGTCAGATAAGAGAGACAGACAGAATGAGCAAAGCACTGGGTCTCCAAGAACCACTGGACTAAGTGGTTCTTTAATACTGTGATTACCAATCATTTGGGTGGTTTTCCAAAGAACAGCACCCACCAATACCACAACTTACATCTTAAATGCATTGTTTGAAGTTACTGTGTTGTACATTTTTCTAAACAGGCATTCATTTTCAAGTGCGAAAGGTTTGTTACTTCAAGTGTACAGACCTACAATGTCCATTTACACATATCAGCTCAACAGATGAGACACAAAGACGAAACTGAAAGTGCTACAATTTGATTGCAACAGACTTTGTCTATACTGATGTGCTGAGGTGAGAAATGAAAGGGAAGTTGTCTTACCAGCACTTTGGGGCTTCTCTTGGGCTGCAGGACTCCTGTGAGACAGCGGCAGAGAGAAAGAGAAATCATCACCCTCATATCACACACTCACACTCACACTCACACACACACGGATCCTCATATCAGAGCAGAGCCTCCGTCTGAGCGCTGGAGTGCATGTGTGTGTGTGTGTGTTCATGCATCAGCTGCTGCTGAGGATCCTGCTCCACCCACCCATGAGAGTGTGTGTGTGTGCGTCTATGATTCACACACGCGCGCGCACACACACACACACACACACATCATCTCAGACCTACAATGTCCATTTACACTGATAATCCAGTGAGACTCATGCCACACACATCTTCTACATGCTGTGAATGAATATAGTGTAAAAAAATATTTTCACATAAGAATCATTATGTCTCCGTTTAATTAGCATTCATGAAATTCACGTGGTTTAAAAAGCATACATGTATTTGAATTAGTTGTGCTTTTCTACCCCGAGAGTTTTAAAGGCAAGCATGTCATAGAATTT